CCTGCCTATGCTTTGCTTCATCAGGTAAGCACAGTATCATTTACAACTATCGTTTGCCAGTTTTCTGTCATTACACCTGTAGTCCCCGGGAGACCATAATCTCCGGAGCGCCACAGTCATGGTCCGCTTGTCACACCCATCATCAGAGGTAAATACACAGCAGCCCCACTTTCCTCTATAGTCAACATTCCCAGGGCACATACTACTGCTATCACATGTCTGCCTTTCCTATCCTGGAATCATAGGCTGCAAATAGATTTAAAATAGCAGTCACAAAGGGGGCAGGGGAGCACAGAGATCTTTTTAAAAAGGAATTTGAGTATGTATTATGGCTACCTCTGTCTTAGCCTCTGGTGCCCTAGGTCACCCTAGCGTTCCATATCTACCCATGGGAGATCCTCATATCCATCACGATACTGGATCTGAGAGATCTTGATACTTGCTTGTCTCCAAATTTATCACCTCTCTTGGGGAAGGCTTCATTGAAGCTGTCTGTGGCAAGATGAGGAAGGCCCTCTAGCCTATGTCTCTAGGCAAATCTTGAACTCTAGCTCAGCCAAACGAACAATCACCACGGTTAACACCCGGCAAAGTCTGCTGGAATTCTCCGTTGCCTAGAGACTTCACTGAGACTCAAGGGCACTGCACAGGAAATCCAGCTCCTTAAACTCAGCATAACCAAAACCTTTCGATCTGTCTGCATTGCTGGGTTCAAGTGGTAAGGCCATGGCACTGATATCTAACCATCTAAAGAATCCCTTAATGGAGTCTTCTCTCGCATCAGAGAGCACGTCGTTCCCCAGGCAAGTAGTGTGCAGGGTGGCAATTTGGGAAGATGGCACCAGTTAACACTGAGTTCTGGAGCAGTTTCATGAAACACTGGGATGAAATGGTCGTTTGGAGGTGCCTAACATACCCAGCCATCATTACAGCCACAACCTGTTAAGAAATCTCCTTCCAGGTTATCTGTGTCATCAACTGAGCTAACTAGTTTGGGGACATGGCATTTCCCCACCAGTCCACCATCCTTAGCCAGAAAGTGTTCTATGGAGATGACCTTTACTTCTTTTCTGTCTCTTTTGCTGAGGCCATCATGCTGTGCAGGTACTTTTAAGATCATCTAAATAAATGTCTTACAAAGCTAAATACATTGATCAAGCTTAGCTTCATTTTTATTTAGCCAATAGTATTACATGCAATCTACTAAAATTTGTCCAAGTTATGCAAACTTTGAAAAGCAGTTTCTAAATTTTTAACTTACTTGCTTTTAAGTCACTTAGCAACTATTTAAACACTATATGAATAACATAATTGTTTTTTATTGTATCAATATTCTTGATATTTTTAAACCTGTACTGTAATAAATAAATTATTTTAGAAGATTTATTTTTATTTCATGTATATAAATATTTGCAATCACATATGCCCATGTACTACCTGCCTTCAGAGGTTTGACAAGGCCTTCACATTTTCTGGGAACCAAACTCAGGTCTTCTGCAAGGTCTGCAAGTGTTCTTAAGTGCTGAGCCATCTTTTCAGGCCCAAGAAATTAAGCATTATCAGAGTCACTGGTCATCAAAATATCTTTTCATGTAAAATATTTTAAATAATAAATTAATAAACAACTATAATTTTGGAAAGTTCTTTTACATATCTATGACCAGATATGTGAATATCTGCTTTATTATGTTGTTAATTTATTTATTTAAATATTATGCAAAGATTTAGAGAGTTTAGGGTACATGTGGTTAAAACATACAAAATGAGTAATATGTGTTATCTTTTGAACAATATGCATGTATTCCTTCAAAGTATAAACCAGTCATTTAATTTTTTTGGACATTCTGGTTTTTATAAATCCTATCTTAAAATATTGGAACCTAGTCTGCATCTATGTGCCTTGAATAAGTAACCCTTTTGTTACTGTCCACAGGAGCAGGAAACAGTATTGTGTAACAGGGAGTATACTCTCTGCAGTCTCTAACACAGTCCCCTAAATCAATAAGCAGTCTCTCTTAGTTACCTTCCTGATTACATTGATAAAACATCTTGACAAAAACAGCTTAAGGAAAAACTTGTTCACTTTGGCTGACAGTTCTCGAGTGGGCACAATCCATCCTGGTATGGAAGGCATGGAAGCCAAGTAGGGCAGGTCACTTTGCAGCAGAAGTCTGGGAGAAATGGGAGTGGAATGGAGAGGATAGGAGGGGAGTCAAGGGGAGGGGAGATAGGGAAGGGAAAGGTAGGGAGGAAGAGAGAGACAGAGGAAGGAGGAAGAGGAGAAAGAGGAGGAGGAAGAAGATGAAGAGGAGGAGGAAGAGGAGGAGGAGAAAAAAGAGGAGGAGAAAAAGGAAGAGGAGGAGAAGGAAGTACAACCACACAATAAAACCTCCAAGCCCAATAGCAGTTGTATGCTTTCTCTAGCAACCTTCTAAAGGTTGTATCACCTTTACAAACAACACTAATTTCTGGGGACCAAGAATTCAAACACATAAGCCTATGGGGAATGTTTCACATTCAAACAAGGCTTTGCTCCTTAATTTTTATCTATGTGAGTGACTTCCTTTTTTAAAAAAAATATATTGGTTATTTTAGTTATTTACATTTCAAATCATGTTATCCCCCTTCCTGGTTTTCCCTATGAAAACCCCCTATCCCACTTTCCCTCCCCTCTGCTTCTATGAGGGTGCTCTCCCACCCACCCACCCACTCCTGCCTCACCACCCTAGCATTTCCCTACTCTGCGACATTGTGCATTAACATGACCAAGGGCCTCCCCTCCTATTGATGCTAGATAAGACATTCCCCTATGCTGGAGCATCAAGTCTTCTCAGGACCAAGGCCTCCTTTCCCATTGATGCCAGATAAGGCCATCCTCTGCTACATATGCAACTGAAGCCATGGGTCTCTCCATGTGTACTCTTTGGTTGGTGGTTTAGTCCCTGGGAGTTCTGGGGGGGTCTGGTTGGTTGATATTGTTGTTCTTCCTATGGGGTTTATGGAGTTACAAACCTCTTCAGCTCTTACAGTCTTTCCCCTAACTCCTCCATTGGGGTCCCTGTGCTCAGTTGGATGATTGGCTGCAAGCATCTGCATCTGTATCAGTAAGGCTCTGACAGAGCCTCTCAGGAGACATCATAACAGGCTCCTGTCAGCCAGCACTTCTTGGCATCAGCAACAGTGACTGGGTTTGGTGGTTGCATATGGGATGGATCCCCAGGTGGAGCAGTCTCTGGATGGCCTTTCCTTCAGTCTCTGCTCCACTCTTTTTCGTTGTATTTCCTTTAGACAGGAGCAGTTCTGGGTTAAATTTTTGAGAAGGGTAGATGGCCCCATCCCTCAACCAGAGGCCGTGCCTAACCACTGGATATGGTCTCTACGGGTTCTCTCTCCCCTTTGTTGGTTATTTCAGCTACTGTCTTCCCCATTGGATCCTAGGAGCCTCTTGCTTTCCTGGCATCTGGGACTTTCTGGTAGCTACCCCCAGCTCCCCATCCTCCATTGCGAGACACCTCTGTTCAATTTCCTGACCCTCTGTACATCTCTCCCATCCTCCCATCTCTGATCCTGACCCCTTTTTATTTTCTTTCCCCTGTCTCTTTCTCCCAAGTCCCTCCCACCCTCTACCTTCCATGATTATTTTGTTCCCCCTTCTAACTAGGACTGAAGCATTCACACTTTGGTCTTCCTTCCTCTTGAACTTCATATGTGACCTCCTATTTTATACATCCAGTGATTTTAAATTTCACTACAGATGTAGTAAAGGAAAAAAATATGAAATATTTCTATGTAGCTATAATGCTAATAATTACTGATTTTTTTCTTTACTTAATTATGTTCTAAGTATATGTACCTTCAAAAAAGCAAAGCTTTAAAGAATACTTTACCTAATTTTTATGCTATAAATTAAACTTGGGAATGATATTTCTTGTGCTCTGAACTGCATCAAGATAACGAGAAAGGACCAGGCACTGTGTACTCCAAGCAGACCTACTCTAATAATTAAGAGGATTTGTCACTGAGAGAATACAACTGTAAATACAACACATTCCACTTTATTTGTCCATTTTTACCTCAGAATATCAAGTTAAATTGAGTTTTATGTTTTAAAGTCCTATTGTTGACAAATTATGTCACTTATTAAGCTGAGACAAGAATTTAAATGCATTTATGAAGGGATAATAAGAACAATTTGACAGTAGTGACATAATATTTTTAAACAATTATTACCCTAAATGGGCCATGGAGAAACAAGAGAAGTACTGTTTTGTCAAGTGGAAAAACTTTCTTCAAAATTGAACCATAACTGCTTTAAGCTTTTTGCCATCCAGTGACAAGGCACAATTAAAACCAAACCACAGAATGTTTAATGAGCAGTGAACTCAGAGAAAACTCTTCAGATAAAAGGAGGATTTTGTCATAAAATGATGTCACACCATTCACTGTGGCGTACAACTGTGATTCTAGTACTTAGAAACTCAAAGCAGGACAGTTGCACAGACTGGCCATGAACTTGCTACCTAGCCCAGGGTGATCTCAAACTCAGTTCCTCTAATAATGAAAAGTAAGCATGAATGTAAAGGATCAGAACTACCATATGTTTTTCTTTTTTTCTAATGAATGACTCAGCAGGTAAATGCATTCCATTTAGTTGTATGCTTTGTGCCAAGAAAATCAAAAAAGTACATTGAAATAGCTATTAGTTATAAACCAAGGGTACAAGGTTTAACATAGTCCTTTGAACAAAAGTGCACAACTAGAATATTATATTTTATAAGAAACATGCAGCTTTGTACCATGAGTTGAATACAACTTATTTCATTTTGCAATGAACAGTTCCCACTAAATAAGTTTGTAGCTTCCATTCCCATAGCCTTCTCAGAAAGCCTTCCCATGCTTGCATGTGATCCTGCACTGCCTTCTGTCAAGACTTGATCTCTCTCTCTCTCTTTTTTTTTTTTTTTTTTTACTTTTTAAATGAAAACTTTATTGTGGCATCTATGGCGCTGTGTGTCAATGACAAATCTGGAGGTATAAATAGCTATGGAGAAAAAGCCTTTTTCCTACTTCCCAGTGCAGAACTAGTGAGCAACCACGAAGTTCTCTTCTTGGTTCACCTTGGAGCTGCTGGTGAGTCTTTCAAAAGAATGCATCCAAGAGATATACACTGCATATAAATATGTGCTTTGAGCTTAGAAATCAACAATGGTTGTTAAATATGGGATCTGAAAGCAAGATGGTAGAAAAATAGGAAAATTAGTATGTAGCATTTGTGTATATAAATGCCTAATTTTCATCAGAGAAAATTCATGGAAACTAAGTGTCCAGTGTATGAGGCATAAAGATATGGAACATGTTCTCAACTTCTTGCAGGCTCTCTAAACTAGGGAAGAAAAGGAAACAGTAGTCCGCATAAAAGAAGTGATGATCATGATTTTTAAAAATACGGTGCTAATGGTTAAGTGCAAGCCTGAAGACTGAAGAGTTAGTTATTTCCTGGGGAGAGGGGTTATGCAATGGCAAAGGTATCTTATGCACCACAGATAAAACCTTAACCTGTGTTTTGAGAAAATTGTTGATTAATTCTTGTTAGTATAAAGTCACATGTCATTTGATTGTGACAAAAAAAGAGAATTGTCTATTTTAATATTAGTAGTATCAAATTTTTATTACTTGCAGAGGCTATTCCTGGTTGTCAACTTGACTATATCAAGTTGAATAACTACAATCTAGAATTGGAGGGTTCATCTGTGATCTAGATATTGAGGCTGGAAGACACAAGTTTCTGACCTGGCTTTGGAATGGAGATCTTGAGGCATAATGGCTATGAGAAGCATAAGCCCAGGCAAAGTAGTACACACCTTTAATCCCAGCAGACTAAGCCAAGAAGATCTCAGAGTTCAAGGTCAGCCTGGGATGAAACAAGTCCCAAATCCAGGCATGGTGGTACATACCTTTAACCTGGGCCAAATTTTCTACTGGAGACTTACAAAAGGACATTGGAAGAAGAAAAATTTGTTCTTCTTTTCCTGCTCACATTTACTTTCCAGCACATCTCTTGGAATCTACTTCTACAGAAGACCAGCTGAAACAACTAGTCCTGTGGGACTGAGCAACTACTAGATTCTTAGACTTCTAATTCATAGCTGACCATTATTGGGGATTTGGACTAGAGACTGTAAGTCATAATAAATTCCATCAATATAGAAAGACATTCCATATATTTTGCGACTCTAGAGAATCCTGACTAACACAGAAGTTGGTACCAGGGGTGGTTCTAGAGGAGAAAAGTATAGGGATGAATCTTTTAAGACTCTAGAGTCGATTTAATAATTTGGTAGTATCTTCTAATTCACTAGTACCTTCAACTACTGAAAATTCTCCAGATACTCTCTCTCCTGAGAGCTCAGAGAATATTGAAGGTCCGTGGTAGAAACGATATTTTAAATGGGTGGGTGGAACACCCTCATAGGAGCAGGTATAGGGGGGTATGCAATAGGGGGTTTTTAGAGGACAAATCAGGAAATGAGATAATATTTGAAATGTAAATAAAGAAAATATCTTAAAAAATGAAAGCTCTCTGTGAGTCAGAGGCCAGTCTTGTCTATATAGCATCTACATAGTGAGTCCTAAACAAGAATAGTACCATGATAAGAACCTGTGTCAAAAATAAGAATAAATTATGTGATTTTTAAAATAGAAAAATGAAGCTAATGCCTTTGATTATCTTGAACTATCAATTATAACTAGCAATATATTAGGTGACCCAGTGTACCAAATTTTCTACAATTTGGGGGAAAAATTGGAAAATGATTTTGCTGGCTTGTTGCTTTTAGTATCTCTGGAAAAATTGATGAAGGAAAAGAGTTAGCTGTATGATAAAATTGAGTGCCTCCAGGTGCAAATAAACAATCTAAAGGTTTCTAAAGGTGCCCTTGACGAGAATCTCTCCAGTAGCCATAGAGCTTGAGTTATAGAAAATCAAACTGAAGCCCCCATTAAAAGGTTGTCTGAATTGCAGCGAAAATTCAAGTCTCAGCCTGAGAGGGTGTCAGCAGTTAAAAGTAAGGCCATCAATTGTAGAAGAACGGTGCCCTCTCACTTGGGATGAGGATGTGTGGAAGGACCCTGTTGAAGCTGAGAACTTTAAATCTTTTAGATTTTCAAGAGTTTACCTCTACAGAGGAAGTAGTACCCTCAGCCCCACCCCTTGAAATAATGCCTTTTTCACAGGAAGAAATTAATCCCTCAGTGTCTAATAAACTAGCAGTGACTTTCTCTGAAGAAAATGCCAGGCAAGACAATACTGATGTTCCTCAGGGCCCACCAATAGTTTCTTCTAGACCTATAACCAGACTCAAGGCAAAACAGGCCCCTGGGGTTGGGGGTGGGGTAGAAAGTATAGTCCATGAGGAAATGTGCTACACTACTAAGGAGCTTAATGAGTTTGCTACTTCACTCAAGCAGAAGTCTGGGGAATGTGTGTGGGAATGGATGTAAGGGTGTGGGATGACGGTGGATGGAACATAAAACTACATCAGGCTGAGTTTATTGACATGGGCCCTCTGAGTGGAGATTCTAGGTTTACTATGGAAGCTCACACAGTTAAAAAGGATTCGAAAGTTTGTTGGAATAGTTGGCTGAAGTGTTTTTCAAAAGATGCCTATTGCAAAGGAGTTAGAGATATCTGATATCCCTTGGCTTAGTGTTGAAGGTATTTTTAAGGCTCAGGGAAATTGCAATGCTAGAGTGGATACATTGTGTAAAACCTAATCTTCCACAAAGGGAAGGCCCAGAAGATATGCCCTTCATGAATCCTCTAAGACAGCAAACCCTAAAATGCCAACTGGTGAGATTGAATGAATTAAATGCAATGGGTTTAATTAGGCCCGAGGTAGCAAGGGCCAGGTGGCAGCACTGAATTGCCAGAGATAAGATGATCGTAGTTATTATAATCTACCAAATGCCTTCTTCTCAGTACCTGTCCATAAGGGCTACCAGAAGCAATTTGCTTTCAGTTGGAAGGGCCAGAAGTATACCTTTACAGTTTTGCATCAAGGATATATTAACCCCCTGCCCTGTGTCATAACTTAGTTTGAAGGGTTCTTGATCACTTATCTCTTCCACAAAAGATTACATTGGTGCACTATTTGATGACATTGTGCTGATTGGACGAAGTGAGCAGGAAGTAGTAACCACTTTGGACTCATTGATAACACATACACATATCAGAAGATGGGGAATAAATCCAACGAAACTTCAGGTACCAGCTACCTCAGTGAAATTGGTAGGAGTCCAATGGTGTGGGGCATGCAAAAATATTCCAAGGTGAAAGATAAGTTATTGCACCTGACCCTCCCACCTTTGATCACTAATTGAGAAAATACTTTACATCTGGATCTCATGGAGGCATTTCCTCAGGGCTCCTTTCTCTGTGATAACTCTGGCTTGTGTCAAGTTGAGACACAAAACCAGCCAGTACAATTGACCCCTTGTCATGCAAACACATCACTATTAAGCCTTAATCCCTACTTTCTTATTCATCACCAAGATCTAAATAACTTTAAAAGTCCCACAGTCTTTACAGATTCTTATATATTATATTTTCAATCCCTTTAAAATATCCAGTATCTTGAAATTCAAAGTATTTCTACAATTCAAAGTCTCTTAACTGTGCCTTCCACTAAAATACTTTCTTACTTCAAGAGGGAAAAATATCAGGAAACAGTCACAAACAAAATCAAACTCTAACCGTCCAATGTCTGGGATCCACTCAGGATCTTCTGGGCTCCTCCAAGGGCTTGGGTCACTTCTCCAGCCCTGCCCTTTGTAACACACAGCTTGTCTTTTAGGCTCCAGCTGCCTGTACTCCACTGCTGCTGCTGTTCTTGGTGGTCATCTCGTGGTACTGTCATCTCCAAAACACTGCTGTCGTCTGCTGCAACTAGGCTTCACCAATAGCCTCTCATAGGGTTTCTTCATGGTGCCAAGCTTCAACTCCTTTGCATGATCCTTTCAGCCCTGGGCCTTCAACCGCCACTGAAGCTACACCTTCACCATTGCCTTCCATGGCCTCTCACAGTGTCAAGCCTCAGCTGCTCTTCATGACGCTTCATGCCTTCAGAACCAGTCCCACCTGGGTGACTCTTACACATTACCAAGTCCAGCTGCAGCACAAGGTACAACGTTTACTATCTCTGGAACATAGCTTCTTTGTGCTCTCAGAAAACACTTCCCAGAAGATTTCACTTCAATGATGCTGGTCTCTTTTTAATCACCACTAAATTCTTTTAGCTCCAGCTAATCAGCATCAATAGTTCCAGTAATTTGAAGGTTTCACTTTAATAGTTCTGGTATCTTGTTAATCACAGCTCATTTTTCAGTCACAGCTAACCAAAACCACAGAATCTTCACAATCAAAACAACAACGGCCCTGATAAGTCTTTAATAGTCCCTCTAGAATTTCTCAAACCAAGCCTCTATCATTTGCACTGTTCTCAACATTATCTTCCAAGCTCCTACAGAACATCCCACAGAGTTTTTAACACCCAAATGGCTCTTCTAGCCCAAAGTTCCAAAGTCCTCCCACAGTCCTTCCCGAAACATGGTCAGGTTGTCACAGGAATATCCCACTATGCTGGTACCAATTTGTCTTAGTCAGGGTTTCTAATCCTGTACAAACATCATGACCAAGAAGCAAGTTGGGGAGGAAAGGATTTATTTAGCTTATATTTCCACATTGCTGTTTATCACCAAAGGAAGTCAGGACTGGAACTCAAGCGATCAGGAAGCAAGAGCTGATGCACAGGACATGGAGAAATGTTAACTTACTTTCTTCCCCTGGCTTGCTCAGCTTGTTTTCTTATAAAACCCAGTACTACCAGCCCAGTGATGGCACCACCCACAATGGGCCCTCCCACCCTTGATCACTAATTGAGAAAATGCCTTACAGCTGGATCTCATTAAGGCATTTCCTCAAGAGAGGTTTCTTTTTCTGTGATAACTCCAGCTTGTGTGAAATTGACACACAAAACTAGCCAGTACATTACTAAAACTATGTATTAACATTTGCCATATTGAACAGGTATCATTTTCGTACAAGCTTAGACACTTCTCTCCCAAAATTTTATTTTTAAATATTATAAAACAAAGCCTATATATCACAATTAAAGCCATTCATAGCTACAAGAACTCTTAATAGATATGCAGGTCATAGTTCTCAATGTTAAATGTAGTGATAAATGGTAAAAAAAATGCAGCAATAAACAGTAGAAAGATAATCAAGATAAAAGAAAAGATCAGGGGAAGATAATGTAATGCTAAAACACTTTAGGCTAAATCCAAAAACAAAATAAAAATTCAAAACAATCATTTCGTTCAGAGCTAGGATAGTCTCAAGTGGTTTCTGCAGGCTCTGTTTTTATTATCTGCTAGAAACAGCTAGTTCACACTGACGCTTCATCAGTCACATAAATGTACACAACCATCACAGAGCTTTACTTACTTGCATGAATGTTGAGTCCACTTCTTCAGTAAAAGTGATATTTATATCCTAAATAGCTCTTGTAAGACATTTCTTTTATGAGTTTCTGCTTGTGAATACCCTTATATGTACGTGAAAATGCATATGTATTCCTACATGTTTACATAACAATGTTTAGCAAACATAAAGCATTATTTCAAGGTGATTGCTTACTTATATAAGGAGATTTGTATAAGAGGCATATAATAATAAGCTATGAAAATACCTACACTGAAACTGAGTAGTGCACACCTTTAATCTCAGCACTCTGGAGGCAGAAGTAGGTGTATCCCTGAGTTCCAGGCCAATTTGGTCTAGAGTGAGTTCTAGGATAGCTAGGGCTACACAGAAAAACCCTGTCTCAAAAAAAATGCACTGAAATTAATAAGATACTAAAAAGAAAACAAACAACTGCCTACCTAAAACCCGACATTTCCTGATTTTTTGCCAGAGAACACTGTCACCTCCTGTGTTATTAGTAGGCATAGTCTGGCATAGAATTCTATGACTATTCTGTATAACGGAATTTCTGCCTCTTCCCTGACAGCTGCTATTCCCACTAATGATAATGCTGTTGAGATTATTGGAGGCTACACATGTAAGAGCATCTCTGTCTCCTACCAGGCAGCCCTGAATGTTGGCTACCAGTTGTCTGGGGGCTCTCTTATCAGTGACCAATAGGTACTGACTGTTGCCCACTGCTACAAATCATAATTATTCAATATTCACAGTCCTAAACTGTCATTTTCTCTTACCACCACAAAAATGTAAACAAAAAGATAAGTTGTTTGATGAGTTAAATATTTTTTTATATTTATTATTTAGTTGGGGTGGGGTGTACGTGGAGGGCAAAGGACAAGTTGCTTTCTTTCTACCATATGGGTTCCAGGAATCAAACTCAAGTCATCAGGCTTAACAGCAAGCACCTTTACCTACTAAGCCTGCTTGATGGATTCAAAAAAGAAAAATCAGAGCCTACGTATGTTTGTTACTCATAGAAATTTTATAATTGATAACCAATGTTGCCCTTGGGTTTTACATGTATTTTTCTAAATAATGAATTAGTTTAAAAACCTGAGCCTATATATACTGTCTCAATGATTATATCTCAAGACTATTATGAAAATGTCATATAAAGTGATAGAACATACCATATTTCTATAACATGAAAAAGGGAGAATATATGCTCTGCTCTAAATGCTTTCCATCTCTGAAGCCTTTCTCGATTCCCCTTAAATCTGTGTGAACAAAACCAGAAGAGAAATATTAATTGCCAATCAATCTCCAATCCTGTTTTCACCTCCTACTGTTATGTACAGGGGCACTTTTTTCTCCATCTCGTCTTGAATTCTAATGAGATAGTGGGCTCTGAATTTGTGCTAGCATCGATGTGTACAGAACTCCCTAACTATCCGACAGCAGGAACAGCTGGTACTACCTAAAGTGCAATGAACTGAATTCTTGAATAAGATGCTGTTCCTGTTTATGTTCATGATTAGAGGTGGGGAAGGGTGGAGAACTCCAAGATGGATACTTAAAAAACTGCTAATCCTTACAAATATAGCCAACTACAGCTCTATCTGGGGGAACTCAACATTCATGAAATTAAGGGTAAGGAACTCATTAATGCAACCAAGTTCATCTTCCACCCAAACTATGACAACATCACCGCTGATAGTGGCATCATGCTGATTAAACTGAACTCACCAACCACCATTAACTCTCATATGTCCACTGTCTCAGGCCAAGCTTCTGAGTGCCTCATGTCAGGCTGGGGTGACACAGTGAGCATTGGAAGTAAGTATTACTTGGGACAAGTCCAAAATGTGAGAAGCCCTAGACAGGTAAGGCATAAAAGTGATTACCTGGTCCAAAATCTCACTCAGAGTACATTTCTCTGAAGATAACGTTAGACCCACATAGTATTGAAATATGTTATTCAAACTTAAAAAGTCTTTTTTGCTGAGATCATATAAAAGGTAAAACAAAAGTTTTATCAAAGTATATAATTTACATGTGATTGGTGATTGTCACAGAATTAGATACTGGGGTAGTATATAGAACATTAAGAGATTCAGTTCGACTGGAGAACACAGTTTTTAAGAAAAGGGTCTTTGAACTCGCATCTGTCACTACTAACATTTCCATCCAAGAAAGAACTAGTTGGTTAGAACTGTTTAGAAAATCTTCCAAGAAAAAAAAAAATAAACCTCCCAAATTCTCAAACCTAGACAAGTTGAAAGAAACAAAAAGTATGGTGAGATCAAAGAGAGAATGGGAAAGAAAGATCATGGGATACTGAGGAGGGGATAGTTATCCATTTCTACTCTTCACAGTCAGCTTCCCAGACATTCATTGTCTAAATGCTTCCATCCTGTCAGACTCTGCCACAACACCTTTCCACATGGTATTACAAGGAACATGCTCTGTGTCAGCTTCCTAGATGAGGAGAGTGAGATTTTTCCCCACTCTGTCTGGTTCATCAGTCTTGCTTCTCTTGAAACATGGCTCCATATGAAATGCAGAAGATGATGAATATGTATCTGGGAGCTAGAAAAAAATGGCTTAGTAGATAAACCACTTACTTCAAAGGTCAACAGTTGAAGTTTGGATCCTCAGATTCCATGTAAAATCTGCTATCAGCCACCTGCAATGCTAACACTAGAGAGGCGAAGACAGGGGCTCCCCTGGGCAGGAATCAACAAGTTTAAGTTCAACAAAACTCTTTCTTGATAAATAAAAATGGAGCACAGTGAGGGAAGACATCAAACATCAACTTTAGGCCTCCAGGTAACTCACACTCCACAAACATAAGCAAAAATAAAATTAAAATATTTTTTTCTGAGGTTGAATATGAAAGATGAGTAATAGATTTAGGATAAACTGTAAATTTTGCTTGTAATTCAATGGTTAGAACTGGGGGGTAAAATACCACAGTAATGGAGCCCCTAGCATGGCTGTCCTTGAAGAGGCTTTACCAGCACCTGACTAAGACAGATGTAAATCCTTTCAGCCAACCTTTGGATTGAGGTCAGAGACCCCTATGGAAGAGTTAGGGGAAGGACTGAAGAAGCCATAGGAAGGACAACAGTATCAGCTAACCTGGACACTTCAAAGCTCCCACAGACTTAGCCACCAACCAAAGAGCATGCATGGGCTAGTCTGTGGCTCCCAGCTCATATGTTGCAGAGGACTGCCTTGTCTGGCCTCAGTGGGAGAGGATGCATTTAATCCTGTAGAAACTTGATGACCCAGGGAATGGCTATGCTGCCAGGGGTGAAGTGGAGGTAGATGGGTGGGTGGGTGGGGGGACCACCCTCTCAGAACCAAAGGAGATGGGGGATGGGGTGAAGAATTTGGGAAGGAGGGAACAGTAAAAGGGACAACATATGGAATGTAAATAAATAAGATAATTTAATAATAATTTAAAAAAATACCACAGCAATGGTATCCAGACAATATACAGGCAACATTTTAAGGTGGATTCCAAGAAACTCTTCTGGAAAAGAGGACCTGGTGAAGTGGTCATAAATCTCCAGTTTTCACTTTTTATTGTTCCTGCAATACTGTGACAGAAGGAAGTGGGGCCATAAAAATAAATAATTTATCCATGATATAGTAAGAAGATTGTGTTGGATTTCCAGGAGTAAAGTGGGTATCATTTGAAAGACTGAAGAAATAGGCCCTAGGAAAATGAAGGAATACCTCTAATCTCATTATCTCATCTGATCATTAACAAGAACATGGATTGTCTTTTTCTTCTTGTTCAGTGTGACTCTGGTGGCCCCATGGTCTGCAATACAGATCTCCAAGATACTCCATCCTGGGGCACAAGCTGTAGTGAGAAAGGGAAAACTGGTGTCTACACCAAAGTGAGCAACTACCTGGACTGGATTCAGGGGACCACTAATGCCAACTAAGCATCTTTCCTGAGCCATCCTCTCATAGTCAACTTCACTTTTGTACTGGGCCTGAAATGGGTATGGAAATAAAAACATTGTATTCTGCCACACACTTATCTATGTATTGTCTTTGCTTGGTAGGGATGAACTTTCTCTTGAAACTTGCTGAGAGAAGGCTGTCATTTTCTTCAAGGACGCAGCCACTAATAAATTTCTCAGTTTTCAATAAATAAGTTCCCATGCATGGCAGCAATCATAATTAAACTCAATGATTTTTTTTTAAAGACACCAACATAAGGAAGCTCTTTTTGAAATATGACTTCATCATGGTAGGAGACCAAGCAAGGGTAATAGGGATGAAAACTCAACATAAAATTATGCAAGCTGACTAGTTTATATACAGCAATGTATATCTATACACATGTGCATATGTGCATGCAATAACAATAGTAAAAACAGAAGAAATGAGAGAGTAAAAAAGGGTAAATGGGAGCATTTGGATGGAGGAAAGGAAACAGAGAAATGTAAGTATATTATAATCTCAAAAATTAGAAGAAAAATATAAAAGCAGTATGTACATATATAAAACTGTCAAAGATTAAAATCATGTCAAAAGATAAAAAGGTGAAAAATGAGAACATAAGCAGAATGCCAAACAACTTTATGGAAATAATTTGAAGAACTTTTTTTGTCAGTTATTTAACCTAATCAATAAAAACTCACTGATCCCAAATGGTTTGGCATGTGAAAGACTGAGCATTGCAGTTATGAAAATGAGTAAGGTTACGGTTTCCATTACATTAAAAAACTTTGGTGTTTCATAATGCATCAGAGAAATTTGGCTCCAATAAACATTTAACATTAGTTATAAAACTAAGACAATGACACTAAAATGCAGAGTTAAAATTAATTGTCCCAGGCCATTTAAACAGTTTACAATAAGATAGAACAAATCCCAGGCTGTCCTCAACCCCAAAGCATTACTGCTCCTTCCTGTGACATGGTGTTACCTTTTCCTTTCCCCTTCTTCTTCTTCTTCTTCTTCTTCTTCTTCTTCTTCTTCTTCTTCTTCTTCTTCTTCTTCTTATTGTTATTATTATTATTACATTTTTTAAAATCTAAAATCACAGCTTTTCTCCATTTTACTAACATCCACCGGTATGTCCCTTATTCTCCAAGATCTTGTTTTCCAAAAGTGCACTACTACTTGTCATGGAGTCTGTGTTGGATGTTTGGATCTTAGTGATAGAATTTCTAGGAACTAAGGTCTAAATGGAGGAAATATACCACTGAGGGTGTAGCTTTGTAGAACATGCATGGTCCCCAGTCTTATCTCCTTTCTACGGTCTTGTCCACATTGAGGTGAGTACCCTCTGCCACATGCTCTCATCACCGTGGTGGTGTCCTGCCTCCACATGACCCAAAATGGATGGACCCCAAATAGTTGACCTCTGAAATCATGAGCAAAAATAAATACTTCCTCAAATTATTTTGGATATTGATTCAGTAAGGAAACGCTGGTGATCTTACCACTAAAGTAGCTGTGGTCCTTAGCAATAATCTACCCCTGTCTCATCCCACCAATCAGCCCAGATTGTGTGTGAAATTAACTAAGGAGGGAAAATTGTTTTCTTTTATTGGATATTTTCAAATGTTATCCCTTTCCAGGTCTCCACTCTGGAACTCCCTATCCCATCACCCCTCCCCCTGCCTCTATGAGGGTGCTCCCCTGCCCACCCACTCCTGCCTCTCCTTTCCATCCTGGCATTCCCTTCACAATAGAGGAATCTCAAATGGCTGAGAAACACCTAAAGAAATGTTCAAAGTCCTTAGTGATCAGAGAAATACAAATCAAAACAACCCTGAGATTCCACTTTATACCAATCAGAATGGCTGAGATCAAAACCTCAGGTGACAACACATGTTGGCAAGGATGTGGAGAAAGAGAAACACTCCTCCATTGATGGTAGGATTGCAAACTGGTACAATCACTCTGGAAATCAATCTAGAGGTTCCTCAGAAAATTGAAAATAGATCTACCTGAAGACCCAGCAATGCCACTCTTGGGAATATACCCAAAAGATGTCCCACCATGCCACAGGGGAACATGTTCCACTATGTTGATAATACCCTTATTTGTGATAGCAAGAAGCTGGAAATAACCCAGATGTCTCACCACAAAAGAATGGATACAGAAAATGTGGTTCATTTACACAATGGAATACTACTCAGCTATTAAGAACAAAGACATCTTGAGTTTTGAAGACTAATGGATGAAACTAGAAAATATGATCCTGAGTGAGGTACCTCAGACCCAAAAGCACATGCATCGCATGTACTCACTAATAAGTAGATATCAGCCAAAAAAAAAAAAATACAGAATACCCAAGATACAGTCCACAGAACTCAAAAAGGTCAACAAGCTGAAGAGCCCAAGTTAGGATGCCTCAGCCCTACTTGGGAGGAAGAAGGAAGCAGTCACAAGGAGGGAGGAAGGGATTGAGGGAGGGAGGGAGAGAGGGAGGGAGGGAGGGAGGGAGGGAGGGAGGGAGGGACCTGGGAAGAAAAGTGGGCTGGGGGTGCAGGGAAGAGGGGAAGCTGATCTGGTACTGGGTGATGGAAAATGACTGAAGCCCTGAGGGCCAGAAGAAAGAATGGAAACAGGCAATCTTGGGAGGTAGGAGGTTAAGGGGACCCTCCAGAATGCACCAGAGACCTGGGAGGTGAGAGACTCTCAGGACTCAAAGGAAGGGAAATAAAATGCCTGAAGGTAGGGAGAGAGAACTTATAGAGCCTACTGCCGGGAGCCATCCCCGGCTTGGTGGGAGGAGAAGGTGATCTTTTTTCTTCTCCTCCTTGTCTGGTTCTTCTTGAGGCAGCCAGTGGTGATAAGAATTGGAAGAGCATTGGTAGGGGTAAGACTTAGTCTTAGGAGATTCCAGATAAAGCCTTGGGCTTTACGAGATTCGGGGTAAGACTTTGGTCTTACAAGATATTTAGGGTTGCTGTTTAATAAAATCTTACTTGTCTACATTACAAAAGTTTGTTTACTAGGCTACTGTAGCTGACCTGCTGTCTCTTTGATCCTCTGAGGCCAGAAACAGCAGTTTCTGGCCACTAGCACCTCAGCCAGGGACAGCAGAGGATTAGGCAATGCCTTTGTTCTTCTCTGCAGGGGCTGCCAGGCTCTAACTTAGGTCTGTTGATTTGAGATTGCAGGAAGAAAAGACACTTAAAGAAGTTATTATAGTTTATTACTAAGTGTAAAAAGTTTCCTATGAAAGCTATCTAAGAGAAAAAGTGGAAAGGTCCTAGGTGGGGAAAAGGAAAATTTCTATTCTATCTGGGAAAAGGGAAAAACTCTGTTCTATCTCTATTCTATCTTCTATTCTAATTCTATATCTAACTAACTCTATACTGTATCTAACTACATTCTATATCTAAATAACTACATTCTAGGTCTAACTAACTACATTCTATATCTAACTACCTCTATTCTATATCTAACTAACTCTATTCTATATTTAACTAACTCTACTCTGTATCTAACTAGCTACATTCTATATCTAACTAACTCTCATCTCTTTGTCCTTAGTACTTACACATCTTACAGAGTACATGGTCACATGTTACAAAGTTCACACCAAAATTCAAATCATAAATTGAAATAGAAGTTTACAACAGGGAATGTTTACATGCATATCCATTAGGAGTAATTATCTGACTAAACATCCATCACCTGCCTAGCTCCACAGGTTCACTGAAGGTTTAAAACTATAGCTAAGAAATTAGTGAAGTTTTGTATAGATAAACCCAGGCAATATTTTCTCTTCTGTCCTAGCACCTATAATAAATCGTGAATTCCCTTTTAGTGACCTTTAGTTAATTGTTTTACAACCACCTTGGAATCTGCTCTGAGCAGGAGAAAGTCTGGTTACTATCTAAGGGCTGTTAACTGATGACACTCGGGAGACTGGCAGAATTCTCATAGCAGTTTTGACTATCAGAAAAGGACTTAATACCAGTTCCATTATAAAAGAGCTTAATAATCATTGATATAGTTTTAGGAATTCTTATAGGATCATCATTAAGACTTAAAAACTCATCTATTTGTCTATATAGCATCACTGCAAGACAGTACATCTTCGTGGGTCTGCAGAGATCTGCTCAAAAGGGGTGTGCTATTGCTTAGTGATTGTTACATATGTTTAATAATAATAGGAAAAGCATATTAATAGAAGGATCTTTCCTAAAATACATCTGCCACAGCCTTGCTGGATGGGGCACACTTGTTGTAGATTTTATAATAATCCAAGGCAAGGATTTCAGGATGATCAACTGCTAATTATTAGCTTGTCCCATTATGGCTCCTGACAGCCCACCTCCAGCAGAAATACGGGGGATCAAGTGAGGGAGGGGGTTGCCATCCCATAGTCAAAACTCTGATCTATAAGTGTTCCTTTCTGAAAGAACTGCAGGGATGAAAATGGAGACGAGCCTGAGGAAATGAATGTCGAGGGACAGGCCCAAAGTGGGTTCCAGCTCAAGGGGAGGTCCTAAGGCCTGACACTATTACTGAGACTATGGAGCTCTCACAAAAAGGGAACTATCATGACTGCCCTCCAAAAGACCCAACAAGTATCTGAAAGAGTCAGATGTACATATTTGCACCCAACCAATGGACAGAAGCTGCTGACCCCTTTGGTTGAATTAGGGAAAAGCTGGAAGAAGTTGATGAGGAAGGCAACCTTGTAGGAGGACCAGCAGTCCCAATTAACCTGGACCCCCAAGATCTCTCAAACACTGGACCATCAACCAGGCAGCATACATTAGCTGATATGAGGCCCTCAACACACATACAGCAGAGGACTGCAAGGTCTGGGTTTAGTCAGAGAAGATGCACATAACCCTAAAGAGACTGGAAGCCCCAGGGAGTTTAGAGGTCTGGTGGGATGGGGGTAGGGGGGATTGTGGACATCCTCATGGAGACAGGGGGTGGGGAGGAAGTATGGGATGTGGAACAGTCGGAAGGTGGACAGGGAGAGGAGTAAAATCTGGAATGTAAAATAAATAAATAAGAAGTTTCTTAAGTGCAAAATCAATAGGCTGCTAAGTGTACAGTTACAATCTCAGTATAATTTTCTTAGTTGTCACTAAACCACTCTGTTTTGTTGAAAGGAATATGGAGAGTGTAGGAAAGGAGAAATGGGGGGGGTGAATATGATCATATTTCACTACAGACACTAATAAATAATAAATTCTCCATAAAAAGTAGAGGTAAACCTACTCACTCTTTGTTACCTATCTTGGGGTGAGGGTGACAATCAAGAAATTATGTCAGATTTTCTTATAAAAAAAAAACCATATGGTGTATTTGGAAAAAAATCAGTGTACAAAATAACAAAAACATAAAAAGAAAAAAATAACTGGTTTCATTTACTATTCCAGCCGAAGAGTATCAGCAGGGTAGTTTTGCCCCAAACCTTTATAGGGGTGAGGAAGATTACATTATTTTAGATGGAGAAATTCAGAGTCAGGGTTGTTTTGCAATCAACAGAGAAACCCCAGTTCACCAAATAGAAAATGCTTAAGGATAGCTAATATTAAGAAAATAAACTTCTATCTTACACTATTGTTTATGAAGCAAAAATTAAAATAAAATAAAAAAGAGTTTGGAAGGTTTATATCTGGCCTAGTGAGAAGATACATAAGGATTTGCTATGGGAAAACAAAGGAGTGAGCCAAAGTCTTATTGGAGTCAGAAAGTAAAATGTACAGAAGGCCTGATCATACTCTGTGTTCCAGTTACAGGAGAGTGAGAGGACTTCACAGCCAATGTTGTTTGCTAGGAGTCCAAGACTCAGGTAAAGCTCAGTCTTGTCACAGGGAATCTGAAATATTTTCATTGCCTCCTGATTTTGCCACTAACTTCCATAAGAACAATAGGCTTCTCAGCTCCAAAATGGGAGGAAAAGAAAAAAGGGTGTTGATAAGTACATTTTATACATCAATATTCTGAGAGCCTCTGAAGATGGCAAAGAGACTCTGTAAAGACAGAGATGCACAGGGAGGCAGGTTTAAAGTCACAAGCAGGGCTCAGGGAAGACAACAAAGAAAAGCCATGTCACAAAGAGGGGAGGGAAGCAGTCAGCAGGAACATCTGGTGACTGGGAAGGGGTTTTAGTATCACATAGGAAGCACCAAGAACCAGTCTTGGTCTTCTTCCTCTCCATCTACATTAGAGCCAAACCCTGCTGACTCCATACATCTTGATAGATAAGATCCTGAGGAAACAATTCGAAGATTTCTGTAAGATCCTTGTCTTTTCCTCCTGCCCCAAGTGTTTCTCCTTCTGCTGTTTTGACGATCGAGGTCTCAAGATTGTGACAGCTGACAGTGTGACCACCTAGTCTGCTCTAGTGAGATAATAGCTCAATATGAAGACTTTTTTCATCTTCACTCTCTTGAGTCTACTAGGTAAGTTTAGAGTCTAGTTTCTGTTTAGAGTGAGATCCAGAAAGCTGTACCGGTGGTTGACATAAAGGTGATATAGCTTACAAGATTCATAGCTTGCAAGATAGGATGGGCAATGAGAAATCATTTAAAAGACAAAATTAGCTACCGAAGGAAGTCAAAGACTATAATTTCACATATTTTCCTAACAACGTGTTCTCTGAGTCTCTCTGATATCTGAGAGAATTTTGAATATCCTTTGTGCCAAGGCTTTGCAGAAAAATCCATAGGAACTCCACAATAGGCACTCGAGGACATGATTTCCCCTAAACAGCTACCATTCCTTTTCCTTGAGAAGATAAGAAATTTGGGATCGGGAAGGGAGGTAGGCTAATTTTAAGTTTTCATGTGTCTTTTTTTATTATTGCCAAAGTCAAAAGGTATTTTATTTATACTCCTATTAAAGTTGTTAAGAATTAATATTTAAAGTACTTACTGATTTTGTTCATTGTCCTAATACACAGTGTTGTCAGAATTTCTGATCAGCATCAATTGAGCCCATGTGATAGTAATAGACAACTTTGATATAGTTACATTTCAACAAAAATAACCATTAGTTTCCTTAATACTGATTGTATTAATTCCTCATACAAACGGTATGACACATTATTTTATGTGAACATTTTAAATGTCAAAATAAAGATCTTGATATCTTTGAATAACTTGGATTAGAGAAAGCTACCCTAACTAAACTAGCTTATACTAAAATTTCTGTTTCAGTTCTTCCTGTAGCAGCTTATTTTCCAGAAGTCATTATGAAAGAAGATCACAATTCAGATGAATACGTACATGATAATTTTAATGTTCCTTATATGGTGTATCTGCAGTCCAGCCCAGAGCCTTGTGTCGGAACTCTCATTGATCCTCAGTGGGTGCTCACTGCTGCTCACTGTTCCTTACCGTAAGTGGTTCCTTACCCATAAGAGCTTGGAGGCATCTGTGCTATTGAAGTTGGTCTGAGAATCAACTTTCCATGCTTTTCATGGAATTAGAGGTTCCAAGAAGATAGACTATACTTCCATTTTTGTGCACTTCAGTATAGAAGTCAATAAGAAGTCTTACAAGCTTTATTTCAAATATTTATCAATAAACACCCATCAATCATGTACCATTCCATAAATGCTGTTCGAATAAACCATTGTGGAAACAAGATAGAAATAACTTTTCCTCATGGAGTATATATTCTGATATAAAGAGTAAACCAAAGCAGAGAAGGAGGGATCAAGAGTAAAAAAAATAAAACAGTAGAACAAGGTGTGTGAAAATGTGTCATGTGGGATGTAGAAGGTGGTTATGTTAGGCCTCTGTGAAGATAAACAGCAGGAAAAGCAGAAGTAGTGCTAAGTGAATAAAGCCTGAGGATGTTCCAGAGCAAGGTAACAACCCTGAGTAGTCTTTGGTGTAACAAAGGTTTGAGGGTACAGCATGTTTAAGAATCAGTGTTGACAGAATATAGGAGTAACAGTCACAGGATGAAACTGAAGGCTTGGATGGAAACCCAGTGAAGCTCTGTGTAAGGCATCTCTTGAAATATCTGCTTGTCAATCATTTTATTGTAATAAACACACAAATAAAACCACCACACAGCTAGAGTAACAGAATCACTCAAGTAAACACTGCCTAGTCCCATATTCCATAGGTCTCATTCAGTTTTTATACATTTAGAATGATCATTCTGAAACCATGGAGCTTCACTTATGGATTTATGGCTTCATTATCAATTACATTCTTATATGCTTATTTACCACAAGAAAAAAAAAAGTCACAACAGAATTAGAAGGAGACAAAGTAGGTTTATATCATCTTTCACAACCCATATGTACTTTATCTGCATGTTATACTTCTTTATTACACACTACTAACCCACACACTGTCCTTCTTTCTATGTGTTATTTTATAACCGAGTGTACATTTGTTTAATGTATACATGTATGTAGTACAAGTTAGAATACACGTATAAGGAAGAACATTGTGTCTTTTACTTTCTGAGAATCTATTTTTGTTGTGTGTCCAGAATCTATCGAGATGATGGAGACACAGCTCAGCAGTTAAAAGTGTTTGCTGCTTTTGTAAGAGGACCTGGGTTTGGTCCCCAGCACCCACATAAATACTCACGACTCAAAGTTCCAGGAGAATTTCATGTCCTATTCTGACCATCAAAGATACTTGCACATACATGGTACATATTCCTACATGCAGGCAAAGCACTCATACACATAAAATAAAAGAAAATATTGATTTTCTTTTTTTTACAAAAAGAAGAATGTTTGTATGAGGAAGTTTTACTCAGAACTTTGGCTTCATTTCAAACTTATGACTCCTAGCCTTCTGGTTGTTCAGGAGAAGTTTAGCTCAACAGACTTTGAAGGCTTGCTCTCTCTATTAGGATGGATTACATAGGAAACAAATGCAGCTGACATGATGCTGGAGCTTGTAAAACAGATGTTCTATTACTCATAACAACTCTGAACTACTTTTAAAGAGGAATGGGAATTTTTTGGTATGCTGCATGACTGGCTAGTTTGTCAAAGGTGCATCCATCTGGCTCTCAACTTGCCTAGAGAATATAACTGGAAATGATGACTTGGTATCTCTACAACACACTTATGGAGGTTTAAGAATCTAGGATGTGTATACAATGCATGACAAAAATAATTATATAGTCCCAAGAAGAGCAGTGGATAGGCTAAGAATGTTAGAAGCAGTTAGGTACTGCTCAAAAGCTGCCTGGACAGATATGGAGTATATGAAGAGCACTGAAAGCATCAAATGTTGTGAATTCTCTACTGGCTGCTAGTTCATATTGTTCAAATCTTAATTAGAATAGAATCTACTGAGTTGGCTGTAGATTGGTCATCCTATATGCTTGGCAAAAACATTATCATCCTGTAAACTACTAATTTCTTCACAAGGTTAGTAAACTTCAACTGTGCAGTAGAAAAGTAAAGCTAAGTTGATTGGATAAGGTGACTTCTTACATTTTTTTTTGTAGTTTGACATTCAGTGACTGTTTTCTCTTCCATCTCTCTGCCTTTCTTTTGCCACAAGAACTAAAATCCGACTGGGAGTTTACCGACCCAACATCAAAAATGAGAAGGAACAGATATGTGGTTACTCAGTGACTGTAGTCCATCCTAATTTTGATGCAAAAATCCTGAAAAATGACTTGATGCTGATAAAACTCTCATATCCTGCTACTATCAATATGTATGTGGGGACTATAGCCATAGCTATGGAACCAATGATATTTAATGAAACCTGCTTCATACCCACATGGACCTGGAGTAACTACAAAAACTGTGAGTGTTTGGCTCTGATTTCTTCATCCTAAGGAAATCAGGGCTGGGAAAGATGTGGTTGAATATACATGATAGAAAGGGGTAATATTTATTTTTTTTAAAAAAGGTCTTAATCTTGCAGTGATTACCAGCAACACTTGGTCTCCCAGGAGGTGACAGAATAAACTCATGAGACTTGTGCAGGGAAGCTACTCCGACAGCAAACAGGGCAGGAAGTAATTTAGATATTGTGCTATTTCTATAATTCTTGAGAGCTGGAACTAGTGAACTGAATGCAAATAGATTAAAAAAAAAAACTTGGGAGTCCTGGTTGACTAAGATGATATTCAAGGTAGAGGGTGGGCTTCACAGCAGGAACTGCTGAAAGCCTACCATGCTCGTCTTAGAAAAGAGGTTAGGAAAAGCAAAGCAAACCTTTTGTGATGGGTGAGGGAACAAAGGGTGCTTTCAACTCTCTACCACAGAGAACCCTAGACTGTGCCTAGGACATATGGATACATTCTTTCCAGTGGACCCAGAATGACGAAGAAATACTGAAGGAGCAAAATCTACCCTCTTGCCAGTGCTGATTCCCTTCAGAGTATAATTTTCATACTTTGTATTATAGGTGAATGTTCCTCACTTGGTGCAGACTTGGAGGGTTCATTAACAATTTGGCTATTATAGTATGCTTATAGTTATGTTAGAGTAACTTGATACTTGTCATGGGAAAATAATCACAGACCACAGTATGAGCATGTACTTTTCTCCCCTATGGACCCAGCATGGGAAGAACAGAGAGAATTGCTGTCTGCAGCAGCTACTCTTCCAACATGGCTTTCTAATATGCTTATTAGTCCTTGATGGCTGTTCCTTCCTGTGATGACTTTTTTTTTTTTTTAAGGTTTTCTCAAAGTTGCTTGGTCAGGTTTAACTCCAGCTTCTGGTGTCATAAAAAAAAAAAGAGGACTTTCCAAATAAATATTTTTTCACAAAAAATAACATATAGGAACTTTAATTTTCTCAGTATTTTGAAACTTTGTATTTAGAAAACAGTCTAGGAATCTAAGAGAATATTCCTTATGAATAACAAAATACATTTCTTTTTTCCTTTTTTAAACTAATCATTCCATTCATTTACATCTCAAACGATATCCCTCTTCCCAGTTACCCCTCCACCAATTCCCTATCCCACATCTGCCCTCCCCCCTCCCCTTTGCCTGAGTGTGCGAGAGTGCTCCCCCACCCACCCCCACTTCTCCACTCCACCGCTCCAGCATCCTCCTACTCTGGGCATCAAATCTCCCCAGGACCAATGGCCTCCCCTCCAGTTGCTGTCAGGCAAGGCCATTCTCTTCTACATATGTATCCATGTATCCAGAGCCATGGATCCCTCCAGGTACATTCCTTGTTGGTGTTCTAGACTCTGGGAGAACTGGGTGGTCAGGCCAGCTTATGTTGTTCTTCCAATGGGATTGCAATTCCCCTCCACTCCTCCTTCTGCCAGCTTCTCCATCAGGTTCCCTAAGTTCAGCCTGATGGTTGGCTCCAAGCATCTACTTCTGCATTGGTCAGTTGCTAGATGGACATCCCCAGGAACTGCCACGCTTGGTTCCTGTCTGAAAGGGCCTCTTGACCACTGCAACAGTGTTGAGTTTGGTGTCTGCAGACAGGATGAATCCCCAGGTAGTGCAGTCCCCAGTTGGCCCTTCCTTCAGTCTGTTCCAATTTTTGGCCCTGTTCTTCCTTTTGACAGAAACATTTCTGGGTAAAAACTTTGAGATGAGTGGGTGGCCCCATCCCTCGACCAGGTCCGTGCCTATCTACTGGAGGTGGTCTCTACAAGTTCTATGTTCCCCTTCCCTGCCCATTTCAACTAAAGTCATCCCCTGGGTCCTGAGAGCCTCACATTTCTCTGGTGTCTGGGTGCCTCCAGTGGATATCCCCAGTACCTCACGCCCCGACCCCGTTGCACACTTGTTTGATTTCCTGACTGTCTGTACTTCTCTGACATCTCTTCCGGTTCCTGATACTGCCCTCCTTATTTTCTCCCCCTCCTTTCTCCCTTCCAGGTCCCCTTCTCCCTCCACTTCCCACAATCGTCCTGTTCCCCACCCCCCAAGGCAAGACTGAAGCATCCACACCCTGTTCTTCCTTACTTCTATGCTCCATATGGTCTGTGGGTTGTATCAGGGGCATTGTGGGCTTTTGGGCTAATATCCACTTATTAGTGAGTACATACTATGTGCATTCCTTTGTGTCTGGGTTACCTCACTCAGGCTGATATTTTCTTGTTCCATCCACTTAACTAAGAATTTCATGAAGTCGTTGTTTGTAATAGCTTAGTAGTACTCCATGGTGTAAATGTATCACATTTTATGTATCCATTCTTCTGTTGAGAGACATCTTGGTTGTTTCCAGCTTTTGGCTATTATAAATAAGGATGCTATGAATTTAGTGGAGCAAGTGTCCTTGTTTTATGTTGGAGCATCTTTTGGGAATATGCCCAGGAGCTGTATAGCTGGGTCCTCAGGTACAAATATTCCCAATTTTCTCAGGAACCGCCAGACTGATTTCCAAAGTGGTTTTACCAGCGTTCGATCCCACCAGCAATGGAGGAGTGTCCCTCTTTCTCCACATCCTCACCAATATCTGCTGTCACCTGCATTTTTGATCCTAGCCATTCTGATTGGTGTGAGATCAATTTCAGGGTCATTTTGATTTACATTTCCCTAATGACTAAGGATGTTGAACATTTCTTTAAGTGCTTTTCAGGCAATCAAGATTCCTTGATTGAGAATTCTCTATTTATCTCTGTACTCCACTTTTTAATAGGTTTATTTAGTTCTCTGGAGTCTATCTTCTTGAGTTCTTTGTTTACTTTGGGTATTACCCTCTATCAGATGTAGGACTGATAAATATCTTTTCCCAATCTGTGGGATGCCATTTTGTCCTATTGACAGTATCCTTTGATTTACAGAAGTTTTTCAATTTTATGAGGTGTCATTTGTTGACTGTTGCTCTTAAAGCATAAGCCATTGACGTTCTGTTCAGGAAGATTTCCCCATGCCCAAGTATTAAAGGTTCTTCCTCACTGTCTCTTCTATTAGATTCAGTATATCTGGTTTTATGTGGAGGTCCTTGATCTACTTAGACTTGAACTTTTTACAAGGAAATAAGAATGGATCAATTTGCATTCTTCTACATGCAGATCACCAGTTGAATCAGCACCATTTGTTGAAAATGCTGTCTTTTTTCAACTGAATGATTTTAGTTTCTTTGTCAAACATCAAGTGACCATAGGTGTGTGGGTTCATATCTCAGTCTTCACTTCTATTCCATTGATCTACTTGCCTGTCTCTGTATCAATACTGTGCAGTTTTTATCACTATTGCTCTTTAAATCAAAGAAGACCTCAGAAGATGGAAAGATCTTCCATGCTTATGAATTGGCAGGATTAATATAGTAAAAATAGCCATCTTACCAAAAGCAATCTACAGATTCAATGCAATCCCCATCAAAATTCCAACTCAATTCTTCCTAGAGTTAGAAAGAACAATTCTCAAATTCATTTGGAATAACGTAGGATAGTGAAAACTATTCTCAACAATAAAAGAAATTCTGGGGTGATCACCACCCCTGACCTCAAACAAAATACATTTCATGTGGGTTTTGTCATTAATTTTTTAAAGCTTTATTTGAATTAATTCTATCACACATTACAAAACTAATTTACTAGGTATTATTTAAAGTAAAGAAAACTACACTACATGATGATTTTATTGTGTCAGTTCTGTATATCAAAACAATGAAAGCCAATGGCAGACTACCTGTAATAGACCTTATCTATAAAGGTCCTAATATCTATAAGGAAATCTTTATTTCAAGTAACTTATTTCCGAATAGTTTTTCAAGTGAATTTTTCCTGAAAATAAAAAACTTAAAACTGAACATAACTTCTCTCTCTCTCCTTAGTTGACATGTTTTGGTCTAATTTACATGGCACTGTCTTACTAGATATGATATCAGCTCCTTGAGTGATACAGTCCTTCTCTTGATAAATTGTTGTTTCCTTTTCTTACTATCTCTATTAGAGATCAAAACACTTAGTATCTTGGTTAAAGTACACGTACCCAGACACTTATAATAGCAATTTCTCTGATAGAGATGAGTAATATAACCTCTCAGGGAAACATGTATATGTACATCTCTATAGAGATATACATTCACGTAAATAACCATTAATAGCCACGAACCACGAATAGCCATAATGGTGTTTCAGTCAATGAGGAGAGATATGTAATAGTAATTCTACAAAATTTATTTTATAGCTCAAAAAAATCCTATCAAAAGTTATTATTCCAAAATTTTCTATGTTCATATATGTTTAGATACACAATTTGTTTCTGCTGTGTAACAACATTCACTGAAGTCACATGCTAAGCAGGTTTGTAACCTAGGTATGACAAACTATAAAATGTAGCTTAGATAAGTAATAGTCTTTACAAATTAGATTTGTGTTAAGTATACTATGCTGAGTGATACATTTCTCAGAACATTCCACTGTTACATAAGGCATGACTTGAGTTTTAGGGCTAGTAAAATGGCTTTTCTAGTAAAGGCACTTGCCACCAAAACTGATGGCCTGAGTTCAATACCCAGAACCCACATAATCGCGTTGCAAAGAACTGAATCCCACAAATTGCCATTTGACCTTCACTTATTCACTTTGGCAAAAGTACATGCAGACATGCACAAACATGTACAAATACACAAACATATACACACACTCACAATAAATAAAAAAGAAATTTTATATACATTTTTATGTGATAAAATGTAAAGAAGATAAAATAAATACCCAACAAGATTTGTAGTAGAAATTTTGGAGAACAGCAGTTTTGCTTTTTTTTTTCTTTGTGGACATTTAGAATCTCCATACAATGTTTTTAGAACATCATGAATTATGCACAGCAGATAGGACCATACATCTAATGATGGATGGATGGAGAACTTTGGAATCTACTTCTCCAACATGGAGATTCTACTTGAGAGACTCTAGGAATGATTGGGCCGTCTATAGCTGCTTGCATTGAATATTCTCAAGGATTAATTTATTCACAAAATAGGATCTGGTACAAGGTCACTGGTCAGAAGAACAGCTCTGAATCTCATCTGTCTTTCCTTTCCACAGTTAGTGATCCTGACATCTTGACATGGATAAATGAGTATTCTCTTTCCCCAAGTGACTGCTGGAACGTTCTCCATCGACAGAGAAAAGAAACAAGAATGAACATTATGTGCATAGGAAATTCATTCAATACTATATCTGCAACTAAGGTATCTTTTTTTCTCCATGCAAGAAGATAGTACAGGATCCACTGGAATATCAAACATATCAAAAAAAGATCCTCCACAGACTAAAGAGAAGAAACGTTAGAGTCCCTCTCCTTGACTTAACATTCTGCAATGTACTTCATTCCCCTCCCCAATCTTAGAATGGGAGAACTCTAGGGTGGACCATCTGTCCTTCTCCTACTTGCACTCAGATTATATAAAACTTGAACTGAAAAGGGAAAGAATACAGCAGATAGAAGTAAAAGTTATCACTCCTTCCATACAATGGATTCATTCCCTCAGTTGATTTGGCTACTGTTACATGCCATATCTTAAGATTTATTCTTGATCTGTGACAACAAGGTGACATTGACATCTTACTTCTTTTGTCAGGAAGTCTCGGCTGCTCCAGCCATCTGCAATGGGAGGTTGCATGGAATATTGGCCTGGGGGAAAGCAGGTATAACCAAGGGAAGCGGAGGCTTCTTCACTGCAATTCATCCCTACGGAAGATGGATCTTAAAAATGATGGAATCATACTGAGAAGTCATACCACTCAGTGTAAAATAATGCAATCTCTACAATGGATCAACATCTCATCATCTGTCTTACTGAAAAGAATTTAAGGGAAAACATCCAATAAAATGTCACCAGAAATGTACGACTCCTACCTTTATCATAATGTAAACTTTGAGAACAATGAGACATTTAGTAACAAACTTGTTTATTTACACAAAAAAAATGATCAATCACCAGACACTTAGTACATTCTCATGGTGAAATGTATGTGACTATAAAGTGTCCTTTGTCAAAATTCAGTCAATTCTGTTATCTTATGATGATTACTCTAATACAGGTAACCGATAGTCTTTAGTGGAACATAATTCTAACTACTTTGCACAGTCAGAGAATTACGAAGTAAGTAGACAAACTAGGGAAAGATAAACTAAACATAATTGGTTAAAAATCAAATATGATATAACTGTTATCCATCCTCAAAAACTATGTGTATATAACAACACTTGAGGGAGAAAACAGGCTTTAGGGAAGGAGAAATAATATAACAAATAAATTTTATGTTCCCCACAGTCAGTTGCTGGCCACATCTAAACTGCAAGGTGTTCTTTGTCCATCTCTTCCAATCTCCTCCCATCTTTACCAAGTCCCCCCTCTCTCTGCTTTCCTGACTGGTGCTCTGTGAGGAGCCTTCCTGGCCTGAAAGAGGCATGAAGTGGGACTCAGCATTGGATGTTGCTTTTAAGACTGATGTTTTCCAGATGTAGTTTGGTTTTCTAGCTCTCTAACTATATTGAATGCTTGCTTGATAACTTCTAAAACGTTCTAAAAACTTTCTTTCTTATCCTACGGTTTATAAAATGCTGGCTTCAGCAGTCTTAGCTAAACTAGACCCTTGAGATCTCTCAGACACTGAGCCACCAACCAGGCAGCATACACTAGCTGGTCTGAGGCCAGTAGAGGACTGCCTGGTCTGGCCTCAGTGGAAGAAGATGTACCTAACCCTGGAGAAGCTTGAGGCCCCAGAGAGTGATGAGGCCTGGTGTGGGGAGGGGGGGCCGGGGGTATTCCCTTGAAACAGGGGCAAGACGCACTGGCCCACCCCCCCCTGGGGCGGGGGGGCAGATCGGGAGAGGGGCAATGGCTGGACTGTAAAAAATTAAAAGTAATTTTTAAAAAACACTGGTTTCTTTCCTCTTTTATAACCCTCTGTGCTTTATTTAACTCTTTATGCTTAAATAAGCACTAGGAAAACAACTCTTTCTTACTCTTCTGTGCTTCCTTAAGTGCTAAAAACTTAACTCTTTATTACGTGTGCTTTAATAAGCCCGAATATCTGTCGATTAGCACATGCTGTTTAGCATCAGGGAATTAAATAATGGATTTATTGCTAGAACTCCTTTCTCTGGTGAGTCCCAGAAGCCTTTCTGGCTAAGCTGATTAACTCTATCTGAACCAGAGATGAAGGAAAAGAGAAGAATTAAGATGCCTTATACAGTCAAGTATGCGGAGACATATGTACATTCAAACATTCATACACCCACACTCAGGCCAGGCCTAACTGGCTATCACAATCAACAAGTATTCATGCATGCATACATATATACACATATACCTACATACAAACATATAGACAAATATACATTTGGATGGATGGATGGATGGATGGATGGATGATAGATGGATGGGCAAAGCTCCCCAAGCCAAACCATTCAATCAACAACTTTATTTCTTTTCTCTGGTCTTTTATACCTTCTTAGACAAAAAGTTCTTTAGAAAATTACCTCAGAGATAAAGTATTACATAGAATGAAAGTTACAGCTCGTCACCTACCTCAGCTGCTTTCACAGGACCCCAGAGAAGGAGGCAGCCATATGTCCTCAGCTACTACACCCAGAGAGTACTGGGTAAGCTTCCACACTGGCTGCCCAACTGCTCAGTCTGTCACCTGGCTTCTCCCACCTGCCCAATGAGCTATATCCATCCTACCTCCATCTGAACCATCTGTAGCCCCCCAGCAGCAGGAGCCCCCTCCTCAGCCAGCTGGGTCAGCCCAGTCTCTTCGATACCCAGAAAGACGGCTTCTACTTGCCCTCACCAGGGACCCTGAATACTCACATGCCCTCATCCAGGACTCCTAGTGGCTACTCCTCCGGTGGTCCTGCCAAAGGCTCCTCCCTGGAAAGTACAGGGAAGGATCGCTCAGGTCATTGGTGGAGACCGTCCTCTGTTGTTTGCCAAGAAAGACCCTTGGGCACATGAGGAGGTGTCCAGGCCCTGTGGTGTGGTGGACTTGACCCAGGAGGCCCGAGCTGAGGGCCGCCAGGACCGAGGATCCTCACACCTGGCTGAGTGCCTGTCTCCCTTTTTGGCAGAGGTCAAAGCCAAGGGTGAACTGCAGCCATCAGCCTTGAGCCTGTGTAATGGTGTGGTGGAGGCGGGGCTGGTGGCCGAGTTGGGCCAAGGGGTTGCCAAGGAGACAGGCAGGCAGGAGGAGAATGCTCGATTGCCGCGGCAGGCTGAGGCCCTGCTGCCCTCTGCAAGGTCGTGTGGGTCCCCACTACCACCGCTGCCACCACTGCTCCCCAAGAGTCCTCCTGCACTCCCTTCCTCGATACCAGCAGATGTCTACACCATGTTCCGTGAACCAGGCAGTGAGCACCGCACGGTGGCACCCACCTTTGTGCCTTCTCTGGAGGTCTTTGATGAAAGTGTGGGACCCATCCAGATAGCATCCCATGCTCATGCTGTCTGGGCCAGGGAGCGTGAGCCAGGCCGTCCTGGAGTCCTGCAAGATCCACCTGTATCTCCACGACTGAAGCGAGTAAAGGTCCTGCGGGAGAAAAGTTCAGTCGTCTGCTCCCTCAAGCGTCTGCCTCTTCCATCAGATGGACCTCCAGCAGGCTGCAACTCCCGGTCTTCCCCGGATGTCCAGGCCTAGCTGCCCCCCAAGGAACCACTCAAGCCCGAGGCTGATCAGAGTCTTTGAGAGCCCGAGGCCCAAGCTCTTCTGCTGCCCAGCAAGCTGCTAAGCTTTTGGTCTGGAACCATCCGGACCATCTGGGCCAGAACACAAGTGGAAACCATTTGAGCCGGGCAACTTCTCCACCAGGCAGTTGGCTGTCCTGGCAGCCCAGCACCACCATGCCAGCAGAGTCGAAGGGGAAGCAGCTGTTGCCACAACATCCAAAAAGGCCTACCTGGATCCCGGGGGTGCAATGCCCTGTGCCTCAGCCACCTGCGGCAGGCCCGGTGCTGACCTCCACTCCGCAGCCCACCGTGGCCCCCGGAGAGGCCTCTGCTATGCAGAACCTCATCAAATACAGTGGTATCTTTGCTCCGGAGGTGGTAGCAGTGCTTCCTGGTGGCTGTGGGAAGAAGAGCCCCATTGGAGGCCTGGGCACCATGAAACCTGAACCTACACCCACATCTGCTGTTCCCTCTAGAGCCCAGGCCCCACTCACACACTCCACAGTCCCTACAGCTGGAAGGGGGGCAGCAGCTCAAATGGAACCCAGAGAGACCTGAAAGTGCCAAGGCCTTTGGGCAAGAGAGCTCTGGTACCTAGGGTGGAAGCCGAAGTAAGACACCTGCCTGTTGACATTGTGGTGGCTGTGGGCGGCAGAAGGACAGTGGGAGCAGTAGGGGCTGGAGCCTGGCCTGGTAGACCAAGAACGCTCTTTGTCACTGAACAATGTCAAAGGGCATGGCGGGACTGATGATGACTGTGATAGAGCCAGGCACCTGGAGGATCAGCAGCTACGGACACGGCTGGACCGGGACCAGGAGAAGTTGCTCCATGAAAGTAAGGAATTGGCTGATTTGGCCCGTCTACACCCCACCAGTTGTGCTCCCAATGGTCTGAACCCCAACCTCATGGTGGCCCAACTCTGGCAGGCTCAAGACGCTGGTCTGCAGATCTCGCGACTCACTTGGCCAGGCACCCCTGGCTGCCTCGCTCCGGTAGCACATCCATGTGGCTTACTGGACACTATTACAACCTGAGACACCCCACTTCCCTCCATGCACCAGGGTATGGCCTCCGCATTCCCACCTGGCTTAGGGGACTCGTTACCATCAGCTTACCAGTTCCTCAGGGACCCCCAGTCTGAGAGCTGGTGGCTGTCCCTAGAGATCACCTACCTCACTTTACCAAGCTGATGGAGCTTACGGCAGTCCTCTGGATCGCCCTGTACCCGCCGGGCCTGCAGTCCCCTGCACCAAGCCCAGCAGCTGCAGCTCTTCTCTCAGCAGCACTTTTTGAGGCAGCAAGAGCTGCTCTACCTGCAACAGCAGGCGGCCCAGGCCCTGGAGCTGCAGCAGAGCGTACAGCTGGTGCAGGAGCGGTTGAAAGCACAAGAGCACGAGATGGAGGAGAAGATAAGAGGAGCCTGGAGACCATGGGCAAGGCCGGCTTGAGAGCTACAGCCCTGGGCTACTGCCTCGCAAGTCTGCTGGCCTGGCTACTGGCTTGACAGGCATCCACAGCAAGGCCATGAGCCCACTCCCCATCTCCCTGTGCCTCTGAAGGCCAAGGCCATCCAGAAAGTGGAGGATGTGTCTAAGCCTCCAGCCTATACATACCCTGCCACACCTAGTTTGCACCTCGGCAGCCCACGGCCTGCTCACCCACAAGGAAGAGGTTCCTGAGAATATGGTGGAGAAGAAAGACCTAGAGTTGGAGAAGGAGGCGCCCAGCCCGTTCTGGGCCCTCTTCACAGATATACCTCCCAGGTATCCATTCCAAACCTTGCTACCACACTATGGGCGACCCTACCCCTTCCGGCTGCAACCCACACCCTGGATGTGCCACTCCCAGCTGATGGGTTCAAGCGCCTGGCACTGTCCCCTGAAGACAAGCCCATCTACCTGTCACCCTCTAAGGTCCCAGAGCCAGCTCAGGACAGCCCAGAGGAGGAGCCGCTGAGGTGAAAGCTGAGGATATGGAAGAGAGCCCCACAGAGCTGCCTCCCCTCGTGTCACCATTGGCCCAGACCTCCCCAGAGACTATGGTGGCTGTGAGCCCT